AGGTATAACGATGAGAAACTTATAGAAAAGACAACAATTTGGTGATATGTTTATTAATTATGTCTTTTTAGAACACCATGAAATTAAATGATGTAATTAGAGCCAATCACGCTTGTGGTTAGATGGCTAGACTCCTCTGTCAGGGCATGTGATGACAAAAAGTCAACTTTCAGGTCCTAGAATTAATCCCATCTCTTATCCCCAAATTGCCCTGTTTATTAGTACGATGAAAAAAAAAAAAGAGAAAAAAAGAAATTATTAATGATATGTTGGTCCAATAAAAATAATTCAGTTTATCTGAATGAAAGTAATTCAGTTTATCCGAATGAAAGTAATTTAGTTTATCTTAAATAAAATATCAAGTTTGAATTTTGTGAATGAAAAAACATATATTAGGAGAGTTTCTCTCTTATTAGATCTAATGTAACTCGATTTTAAATTAATTAAGATCTAATGTGACTTTCATATCTCAAGAAATTAATAAAAAAAAATTATAAAAAGAAACAGGATTGTTTTTTTTTTTTTTCGTTATTAGTAATCATGTGATATCTTGAACCAACTTACATACATTAAATTAAATCTGTTTTTTTTGTATTGGTCAAAATATATCATTTCTAGATGAGTTCTTGCAATGTAACCTATCAACCAATAAACAAATCATATATGGATAATTAATACATGAGATGAGAGGGCTAAAAGTCCTTTTCTTTTTTGAACAAGGTAATCACAAGGTGATGGGTGAATGTTGCTTGGCTTCAAACCTAGGATTTATTAAAGTTCGAACGCCCTCTATTTGATTTTAAGGTAATAGAGGAGAGGAGAAAGGAGGCAATATTCTTTCATTTTCCTTATTATTTTTTTTTTCTTTTTTTCCTTTTTAAATGGATTACATTGGGAGTAGTGGAATTTGAACCCAACTCTTGGATTAAAGGAATGCATCATCAACGAAACATAGAGCCATCGACCCATAAGACCTAGGTGTCTTTCTTTTTTCTCGTTTTGTTATGCTAAAAATATAAAAAATAATAATAATTGAAGAAAAGTCCCCTCCCTCCTCTCAAACCAATATGCTTGGTTTCTCTTTTGATTTTTGAATGACACATGAGAGGTATTGAGGGCTAAAGTCATTATTATTATTATTATTATTTGGGTAATGGTAGTAGCTCCCCTGGTTCTACCTCTAAGCTAAAGTAAAGGTAAGTGGCATGCACCTCGGGAGATAATCCTTCTTGTTTATTTACATAATTTCTTGCTTCTTTTCAGTATGCATAGATTGCGGTGGTATGTTTAATTTGTACCTTCCATCTTTCTTTCTTTCTTTTTTTTTTCTTTTTTTTCCTTCTAACATACCAATGGTCTCTTTTCTCGATCAACTAAATTTAGGGGACGGGAATTCAAATGTCACTACCAATCTTTTTTTGAGACCAATGTAAAGTTTCAAAGTTCGTGCATTTTTTAATTAAACTACTGAAAAGTGCAACTGGCTTTTATCTTGGGTTTTTTATTCTATATTATATGCTTTTTTTTTTAAATTAACTTTTGATATCTGAATAATCATATTGAATCTTAATTAATTTTAAATTAAATTGTATCAAACCTCATAAAAAAAAAACTCTTTCAATACATATTTTTTCATTTATAAAACTTGAATTCAAATTTTTATTTAAAAAGAATTAAATTCTTTCCTTTCAGATTAATAAGTTATTGATTTCTATATTTTTTTAACGAGGTGTTCTAAATCAATGGGATAAAAATGATTTGGATAATTGCAAAATTCTTCCCTTACATTTTGATAAAGTATGATTTAGTCCAACTCTTATAAAATTATACTCATGTCTCCTAAAACGCAATTTTAGAAGGGTAAGTATGGTTGTTAAAAAAATGAGATTTTATTTCGTATTTAGAGTTGTATGATTTTATGTTTTTAATTATCAAATTTTTGTTGAATCATATTAAAATTCAAAATCCTATAAACTTAGTGTACAATTAACGAGGAATCGTAAAAGCACATAAAATTAAGCAAAATTGTAATTTCATAGCTGGCAAGAAAAATGAGATATCATTGGACAACCTTGAGGGTAAGTACTTGTTTTTTACGAGGAATTGTGAACTTCATCAAAACTTTTGTGGGAAAATTATACAATTTTTCACATATGGTGGACTGAAGTATATTCAAACCCGAACTTAAGGAGGAAAGTAATACCCGTCCCGTCAAGATCATAAAGGGTTGATGGATTTGCATACACCGGCCCAAACAAAAGTAGTTTATGTGATGCCCAATGGAATAATGGGATATGTCCCATATGGGCCTCATGCCCTCAGCTTTGTTTCTAATTTACGGGTGAAGAAGTTGATGTGCTTAAAATGCAAATTAGATTTACCCAAAGTTATGTTATTCAATTCGTGCTCAAGGAAAAGGAAAAAAAACCCAACCTGGCTTGTTTTTTATTAATTGATTTTTTTTTGTGCGTGTTTTTTTTTTTAATTTATTTATATAATATATATTTAATTTTATTTTTACTTTTAATTTTATGTCACTTAATTTAATTTAATTATTTATTTATTAAATTTTATTTTTGTTTTTTTTTTGACTCTGAATCTGTAAAACCCTTAATTAAAATCTCGAATGGATTTGGGCCAGGTCATTTGATGGACTAATGAGCTCTATGTCTGGTGGAGGCCTAGTTGAGGCTCTAACACTTGGCTTTAGGGACAGTTGACCATGTGCTATTAAAATCCTACTTGGTACAGTAGTTTGTGGTTTTGTAGGAGCCGCTATATAATAAGTGTTTGAAATAATTTATTTTTCAGCTTGTTTATAAGTAATTTTTTATGAATTTTAAAAAAGGTTTTGAAAAGACACATTATTTTTTAACATTTTAAGTGCTTATAAGCAGTTTTTTAAAAGAATGTAAAAACCACTTGATTGTAAAAGCAGGATACAATCATCCAAATCAAATGGTTTTCACATTTCAAGGGATGTTTTGAATGGTCATGATTCAAGCAAGATGATTGAGTCCAGCAGTATTTCCTAAAATCAAAACTATCAGTGCAGCTTTTATCAAAGAGAAAAAGAAAAAAATAGCATTGCAGGCAACCCAAAATCAATGCAAAATTGATTGCCTTGATTCTGGAAGAGAGGAGTGCTAGAACAGTGTGATCCTAAGTGCACAAGCACTTTTCATTTCATTGATCCCTTTAATTTTTGCCTTTATCTTTTCAAAAAGAAAAAATTACACCCACACAAATTATGACTCAAGTGCAGTACCATTTCCCTGAGAAAATTTCAAAAAGTCAGATCACGAGGCAAACGGCTAATTGAGGACCAATGGACCAACGGCTAGGTTGCAGGTTCTAAGAAATTAGGAAATAAGAATTATTTTGTAATTAATTTAAAATTTTTTAAATAATTCAATGATAATCTCTTTTCGCTGAAAATAAAAAATTTTGAGTTCGAGTCATATGACATGCGGGTGAAACGACTCATATAATATGTGAGTAAAATATGATAAAAAATAAAAAAAATATATTTTTTGTTGTGCAATCAATTATTAAAAAAAAATTCCTTAAATTAACATTCAACTTGTTAAATTGTATCTATGCTCTAGAATGATCTGGAATATATGAACACAACCCATTAAAATGCTCTGCCAAATATCGATGTTCGTGTTTCTACTTTCTGCTCTGTTACCGGGTTGGGTCCACTTGTAAGAAGCCGCGTGGTGGCGATAAGGACACCATATTCACCTTATTTTCATTTTTCATATGCTACTTCTCATCCGTAAACTCGGATTCATTCTGAGGAAGGATGGCACTCCTCCCTTCCTAAAATAAGGTTGCATTGATTTTGAATTACCTGCACTGCTATTTTTTTTTTTTAAAAAATAAATTTATCTTGCTCCCATGACTCATTTTCAGTAAGATTCTTTTGTTGTTTTTGATGTTTGCCCTTCAGGCCTTATTATGTACTGCGATGAGGATATCTCTCTGTTCTATTAACTTAGTCATTTAATTAAAATACAATTTTTGTTTAATTAAATTAAAATAGAAGACCTCTCTAAAAAAAAAAAAAACAAAGTTGATTGGAAAATTTTCAATTACGAAAGATGATTATTTTGAAAACGAAAGATGATTATTTTGAAGTAAAATGAGCATATAGTATTAGTTCAATACTAAGGTTTGGAATTCGTTGATTGGTTTTTTTTTTTTTTTTTTTTTGGGTGGGGGGGGTGAAATTTTGTCATTCAATTTTCAAACTAGTTAATAATTAATTAGACGATGAGTGCTATGTGCAGTCATAACCTTATTGGTGTCAACTCTTGTTCTTTTGAATTTGTTTCAAGAGAAATTGAGAAAATGCATTTATTCAATTATGACCCCAATGCAAGCTCCGCTAACATTTATCTTAATTGGATTGGACACTTTTCTTAGCGTTGCTTACTCGTTTTCCCTTTTATTTTCTCACATTTGGACAAAAATGTGAAAACGAATCCGCTAATTTTCCTATATTTCCTCGACGACGCTGCCTCCAAATGTGAAAATGAATCCACCTAATTTCTTTATATTTCCTCAACAATGCCGTCCGCTCTGATCCCTAGAAACGTGTCTATAATTTTTTTTTTTTAAAGACAAAGTATCTTTGAACTAATTTGTATGTATTTGAGCCCAATATTTTTTTAAATTTAAGTAAAGATACATTTTTTATTTAAATTTAAGAAATTTATTAAAAAATTAAGTTTTCCCAAAAAAAGAAGCTGTAAATCCATAAAAAACTGCGCACCTGTCTCTTGACGTCTAAAAGCATTAACCACCGATGTATTCACGGTAGGATTCGAAACCCACTCCTTGCAAAAATATGTTCAAAGAAAAAAAAATCCATCAAAAACCACAACTCTCAGGTGAAACGTGTCTATAATATATCCAGCAGGAAATTTGTCCGAAATTCATCTTTCCCCATCATCTCTTGAGATATATATACCACCCATGTCCATCATAGATGCTTCCTCATAGCATTTCCACATTATTAATTCCCTTTCAATATCTTTGTCCTTAAAAAAAGTATGAATCAACAAAGCAAACCCATCTTGGTTTCTGGTTTTCTGCTCTTTGCTCTATTCATCATCTTCTCCAGCTCAGGGCCAGTTTCAGCTCAAGAAGTTGGTAATGTCTTTGCTACCTTATATTCCAGAACATATGAACTTGAATGACTAGTACTGATCAAACATCGATGTTTGCAGAGAATGAGAGAGAGTTTGATTACCTGGAGACCAGTGGGAAGGGACCAGCACATTGGGGAGATCTGAAGGAAGAATGGGCAGCTTGCAAAGTTGGAGATATGCAGTCACCTATAGATCTGTCCAACAAGCGAGTGAAGATGATCAGAAAATCAGGGGAGTTGAAGAGGAATTACAAGCCCTGTCAAGCTACTCTCAAGAACAGAGGCCACGATATTTCGGTAATGAACTTTTTAGAAGCTAAAGTTAGGCCAACACAGTGTTTCTAAAGGTGGTTTCTTTCAAATGAGTTTCAGGCCTTCAGGCTCTAGCCCTCTAGAGATATTTTGTGGCTGGGGTTAGGCAGAACATAATTATTCTAAAAAGGGTTCTCTTTACAATGAGCTTCAGGCTCTAGTCTAATCCTGGAGAGAAATTTAGAAGTTGAAATTAGGTCAGACATAGTTTCTTTAAGAAAGGATTATCTCTAAAATGAGCCTTAGCTCTAGTTCTCTAGAGAAATTTAGAAGATGAAGTTAGGTCAACATAATTTTTCTAAAAAGGGTTTCTTTAAAATGAGTTTCTGGCTGTAGCCCTTCAGTGAAATTTAGAAGCCAAATTTAGGCCTTTTCCCTAAATGAGTCTTTGAATTGAGTTTCAGGCTCTAGCCTTCGAGAGAAGCTTACATATTTGAAGCTTCCATAAAAGAGCTATAATCTAATTAAATTGTGAACTTTTGAATGCAGCTACAATGGGTGAATAATGAAGCTGGATCAATCAAGATCAATGGCACTGAATACTTTCTCCAACAAGGACACTGGCACTCCCCTTCCGAGCACACCCTCAATGGCAGAAGGTCTTTACAATCCATTTCTTTGTTTTATGTGAAAGAAAAGTGGTTCAACAAACTTATAATGTTTTCTTTGAAAATTAGGTATGCATTGGAGCTACACTTTGTACATTTGAGTCCAGACCCTAATGTCAAGAACAAGATAGCAGTTATAGGAGCCCTATACAAGTTTGGGGAGCCGGATGCTTTTCTTTCCAAGGTAATTAGAAGTCAAAACAAAGACTTGTAACTGGAAGAATGGTACCTCATTGATGAGTTTGATTCCTTGTAATGTTAATTTTGGTTTTGAAAATTTCAGTTGATTAGCAATGTCAGTTCCATGGCTGATCATGTGCAAGAAAGACGAATGGGGATGATTGATCCCAGCGAGATCAAGTTGGGTGGCAGGAAGTATTACAGATACATGGGATCCCTCACTGTCCCTCCGTGTACTGAAGGTGTTGTTTGGACAATCAATAAGAAGGTAAGTCAACGTTCTAAATCCTGTAAAACTTGAAAAATAGCAAATGTGCTTAAGGGATCTCTGACATTATTTTTTATGTTTTCAGATAAGGACCGTTTCAAGGGAACAAGTTAAGGCACTCAAACTAGCTGTCCACGACGTAAGTAAACATGTCTATCTTCTGCAAGAAAATCAATTTTCAGAAGAATAAGGTTTTGGAATGAGCGATTTCCAGATTATCTTATGTTTGGTAATGGAATGATTTTCAGTATGCAGAGATGAATGCAAGGCCAGAGCAGCCCGTCAATGGTCGACAGATTCAACTTTATGGTCCAAATCCAGGAGACATATCAAACTAAAGAAAAGACCTGTAGAATGTATTAGGAGTAAGTGTAATCGAATTTTCTCCCCTGGAGGGAGAACGGTCGAGGTGTTTTTTACCCTGTTGACAAAAGATCAGTTTTCAATCCATTTTCCTTCTTATCAAACCTTAATTATGATTATATTTTTGCATGCCTAACTTCCATTTACGAGAACAAAGTCAAATTTGTTCCACACTACATGAGAAAGAAGATGAGGAATCTTAAGCAAACTGGCATAGCCATTGCAAACGCAAGCCATTATCACTCTGGACAAGCTAAGACTCCGGAAGTTGCAGAAGAATCGAAATGGCATAGCAAATTTAAATTTATTCCTTACTGCTAATGCCATATTACACTTTATCTGATCCTTCGATGACCAGTTGACACATTTACTAACTAATACAATCAGTTTTCTGTCATGCACATATCTCACATTGCAGGGAACAGAAACGAGTGAGAAAGAAAAAGGGAATAAGTATTCTAGCGAGCTACTGCCTCTGGCAAAATACCCTATTCCATAGCAGAGAATGAATAACTTGGACAATGGACCTTGAAGTGAAACTTTAAGAAGGTAGGAATATTGGTCACAAAATCCATCATCTCAGCATCTCCTCCTCAATCCCTGAGGAGCACGATGCAGGGCCTCCACGAGTCTGTCTTGTATTGTATGAATTGCACTTCAAGCACTTGTGTGCCACAATATGGTAATTTACCTCTGAGGTTTCCCCACAATCATTGCAGAGGATCCACACCTAGCCAATAATAGCATCAACTCAGTGATCGGCAAAAGCTAAATAATGGTAGCTGCAAAAATAGTACATCTTATTCATTATATATTTCTTACCATCTTATTCTGATAAATTAGTGGCATCGGTGTTGAAGCAATCTGATATTTGTTTCAGAAAACATTTAAGAAACAGATTAGATTAGAGAACAAGATTAGAAGGGTATATGATGATCAGCACTGCATTTATATCTGCTACAACATACATACCTCACGATCAAGTCTTTCCCACACGTGGGACATATCACAAAATGATTTGGAGCAGACAGGGCAAGAATACCTGCAATAACATTATTAACACCAAACCCAGCTGCCCAAGAATGACATAGAAAAGAAATAAGCAAATGGTTCTATGTGAATAATTGGTAAATTAAGCAAGTTGGACTTTGTGTTTGTGAAAGGACTTACTGCAAGTGACGCACCATCTGTCGCACACATTCCAAATGAATGGTATGTCCGCAAAGTAAGACAGAAATGTCTTTTGTTGTTTCAAAGAGGAACTAGACAACAAATTCAATAGACATCAGCAGCAAATAAGATGTTTCACGTAAATCATATTAACAGCCTGTCTTTCAAGTTTACCTCAAAGCAAACTGGGCAGTTATGATGCATGGCTCTTTCAACACAATTGTGTGAGTCCTTCAAAACTGTAGGGTAGCAACATCCTAAAATAACAGATTCTAAAAGTTAATGATCAAGGAAGGTGGGCACTAAAAGGATTCCTGAAGTAAGGAAAACCTTTTAAGTCTGTGATCTTACCACACTTACTGCAATGGAAAGAATTTTCTGCCCCACCGGTTCTGCAATTCAAAAATGAGAACTTAGCATAATACATGCACAAGAGATTTAAAGCTGAAAGAAAAGCGGCCAACTGTCAATCAGAGAATAAGCATGCGCAGAACTCAAACCTGCAGATGCCACATTCATTGCAGTGGTACTGATTCTTTGTAATCTAACAAAATAAAAATGATTTCCTTATTAAGCAAGTGTTAAGTCTCTAATCAAAGTAAAATCGTCAGCAATAGAGCTAAAGGGCTTACATCATCATCAAAGAACTTGCATTTGGAGCAAAAGTACTCCCCCATGCAAACCCCACACTGGATACAGTGTTGTTGAACCTTATGTGAATCAAGAAAAACCAAACCTAGTAAGTATTAACATTCATTTTATTTTGCTGCTTCTAAAGTTAAAAACTTTCTAAAGAAACTTACAGCTTGTTCCGTGTCACACAAAGAACAGATAACCTGAAAAACAATTTGTTCAATGAACAGAAATTCAGAAAATAACATCAGCATTATTTCTACCCTCATCACATAATGATGCAAATAAAACGGGAAAGTCATGCATCTGAGAGAAACCATGTATAATATCTCAGGAAAAAATTAAAATTCAAGAAAAATCAGAACAAGGAACAACTTGACCTTCTCTATATCATGGCGTGGAATGTCGTGTCTATCTAAAGGATCAACTTCAATCGAGTTCTGTTAACAAAATGCTATGATCATTGATCAAACATAATAAAAGCTATGAAAAAATCACTGAATCTCAGATGAATATCAACTAGAACTCAGAAATCAAGAACCTTTGATTCGTTGTGGCAATGTCTGCAGTCGAATATCTCATTGCAACAGGGTGCCCTGATCTTGCATCTCCTTCTATAGTGAGAGCACCTTCAAAATTAAATAGAAAAAATAAAAATCAACACAAAAAAAAAAAAAAAGACACCCCAAAATTTCGATTATGAAAAGGGAAATGAAATGATAAGAAAGTTACCCAAAATTTCCGGACCGCCGTTCCACCTGAGACTCGTCTCCACTAGAATAGTTCGACATCTTGACTGGAAACCACTCTACGTTAACTCCAGAGGTTTTTATACAAAAATGGAGTTTGGAGTTAGATTCCAACTTCACCTGGAAACCATAAAGAAAACCCAAGTGAATTCAAAATGGATTTTCCTAAACCCAATAGAATTACAAACATTTTAAACTTCAAAAGATCAAATTTTGAAAGAAAAAACTGACCCATAAAAATGGGTAGATAACGCATCATTCAGGCGGATTCGGCAAAACGAACATTCTGGAATCCGACCTCCTACGAGGACGGAGGAGAAAAAGAAACGGATGAACAATTTAAGTACCGGAAGCTCAGGACCCAACTCCAGTATAATAGTTGCGAACGATTACCCCTGAATCAACATTTTTCCAAGAAAAAAGAGCAATGCTAGGGGCACTCGCCTCCTGCACTCTCCGGCCAACACTTTCTCTTTTATTGGGCCACGTTATTTTGGTTTGAGAGAGGTTGCACTTCAAAGCTTAAAACAAGCTTACGTGGCCCAATGAAAGGGGAAGTGTTTGCCGGAGACTGCAAGAGGCGAGTGTCCCTAGCACTGCATGAAAAAATGATTAAGTGACATTTTTTTAATAATTTTTGTCCTGTTATTTAATTATTAGTTTTTTTATAATTGAATTTGTCTATTATGTTTTACAAGGAAATTTGATAAATATATTTTTTATAATTAATTTATATAAAAAATTATAAAAATTAATATTCATTTTAATATTATTGATATATATTTGATTTTAAATAGTTAATTGATTAAATTAAAATTAATATTTATATTTTAATAAAAATTAATGATAAAATTTTATATTAATTATACTTTTAATATGTACTTATTAAATACAAAATTAAAAATTTTTTAATAATTTTTTTATCATAATACAGTAATTAGTTTTTAAATTTAATATCAATATTTAATAAAATAAAATTTTAAATTTTAAATTAAATTTTAATTGAATTAAACAATATAGTTTAAAATTAAAATTCTATTGTTTTTAAAATTTA